GCAGAAGGGAAAAGATAGTCCCTATCGGGTCCAGCAGCTCCCGTCACTCTCGTTGTTTGCTTCTGGTACTTCCTTGTGGCCCCCCAGCTCTGGTCAGCGTGTCTGCGGCCGAAGCCCTGGGCTCTTCCCCGAACGTCGGATTACACGCCATCCTGGACCTGCTACAACTTTTTATTGACGTTACTGGGGCCTAATTCACGTAAAACAAACTGCACGTGTGTAAAGCGGAAGCCCTGATGGGGTTCGTGGCTGCGCGTACCTGGGGAGCCACCACCACGAGAGGCAGAACGTGTGGGGACACTGGCCGTTTGCTGCTTGTCCCTGCAGGCAGAAACCCGCGTAGCCGTTTACGCTTGTCTTCGGCAGGTCTGGAGATGCATCCCTAGCATTGTGTGGATCAGAGTTTGTTTTTACTTTCAGTAATAGGCCACTGACTGGCTGTGTCACGTCGGTCCGTTTTCCTGGCCTCCAGTTTGGGGCTGTCACGAATAAAGCTTCTAGGAATATCTGTGGCCCGGTGTTTACGTAGACACGTCTCATCTCTTGGGTGAGTACCTAGGAAGGGCTCAGTCATTGGCAAACACGTATGTTTGTAAGACCCCGCCAGTTTTTGTAAGTGGGATTTTTGTAAATACCAACCCTGCCCTCTTAAGAATGACAGCTCATTCTTTGTCATGGATATTTCATTACCAGTGGGATTAATGTTTTCCCACATTTTTGTTATGCTACCTCTTTGGGTGTTTCGCCCATGTAGCTGTTAGGGTCTTAGGCATTTCCTTCCATAACTTCTGTGATGTGAGTTCCTTCTATATTACGGACGTCTGTTGCTCAACTGTGGATTTCTGTCTCCTGGTTTTCGAGTTCCCTTTGATTTTCGTTTTGCTTCTCTGGGACACGAGGGCAGTTTCAAGCATTCTGGAGGACAGCTCTTGACCTTTGTGATTTCTCTTCCTGCTCTTTGACTTTGAGCGTCCCGGGCGTGGAGATGGTCTGGGAGTCTGTGCCACCGCCGTGTCGCCCGTGGCCCCCTTCTGGCGGCTGTCCTGGTGGTTCTTTGACTTGAACACCTCTCCCGCCTCCCGGTGGGACCTTCTTCACCTTGTGTTAGAGTGAGGTGTGCGGGGCTTTCCCTGACAGTTTGCGTTTCTTCCTGTGGGGCTTGTTGGGTTGGTACTAAGATAACGTTAACGATTAACGTTAAGATAATGTTAATGGCATCCGTGGCGTAAACTGAATTTCGAAGCCCCTTGTTCCGTTCAGAGCTCGGCGCTGGGTCTCCGAACTTGCACATGCGGGGCGCCTGGGGGCAGGCTGGGTGAGGGTCAGCCGTCTCCTCTTCTCTCCCATCGCACCTGCTCGGTGCACACAGTAGGCCTACCCGCCCCACACACTTGTCCTGCTTCTACCGTGGAGTCATTGCTTTGGGCCCTGGGGAGCCCAGCAAGTGGGGCTTCTCTGGGGCTTGTTAAGTCCGGGACCTGTGGCTGACAGAAGGTGGCCCGGGCTTCAGCCGGAGGGTCCTGACTGGGCCACTCCCCTGCTGTGGGCACCAGGGCGAGTTGCCCACCTCACTGAGCCTGTGAGGTTGGGATGAGCCATTAATTTTGCCAGCATTTATTGAGCACCTCCTGTGTCCTCAGC